TCAGAATCCCAGAGAGGGAAAATTACTTGCCCAGAGATACTTAACAGTAGCTTGAATTAACTGACCTGATTCTAGATTCCAACTGTGGTGTAGTGATGTGAAAGGAACTGGAGCCAGGAGATGGAAGGCCTAGGTAGGTCCTGGCTCTTTGCTGGACTGGTAAAGTGATTTGGAACAAATACTTGCCCCTGTCTGGGCTTTAGTTTGTCTGGCCAGATTAATCTCTAGGAGTCCCTGAAGCCCTTGTAGACCTGACTGGCTCTTCTCTTTGGTCAGGGGTGGATGACCATCCAGAGGAGCAGAGCTTGCCGGTGCTCACGCCAGACAGGACAACATCCCGGACTTCCTCCTCGTCCTCTGACTCCTCTACCCACCTGCACAGTCCAAATCCAAGTGACGGTGGAGCAGACACTCCCTTGGCACAGTCTGATGAGGAGGAGGATAGGGGTGAAGAAGCACAGCCCAGAACCTGCAGCTAGCAGAGGGCCCCTCCTGCAGACTGACTGAGCTGGCTGTTCTCCACATGAAACCCTAGACCCAGCCAGAGCCCTTTGGGAGGATCCAGACACTTTACTTACAGTGGGCATCAAAGGGAGGGAAGGATGGTGGGGTGATGGACATCTCTGAGAATTAACCTTCTCCTGCTTTACTGATAACCTTGTCCTGCTGCAACCTTCCCTCCAGTTTTTGGCTTGCTCCTGAGGTAGGACTTACAAGTGTGGAGATGGAAGATGAGGTAGGACAGGATGCCACTGCTTTTCTTAGCACACCTCCCTCCCCCACTCTATTCTGTAGTCTTCCAGTAGCCTCCTAAACCAGAGTCTCTAAGTGGAAGTGAACTCATTAGCACTCCAATGAGGTGGCACTCCAACTATTTTTCCTCCTTACATCCTTCTTTGGAAAGGACATGGTATAAATAATAAACAAGTAACATACCAACCATTCCACTCATTTTTCATATCACAGTGATACCGAACCCACTGTGTCTTTAGCTCTCTATCCAGCACCATAGCCGTATCACTCATTTATTTACTTTTTTCAAGAAATATTTGTTGGACACCTGTGCTGGGCATTTGGAATGTAGATGATGCTGAGCAGGACACACTGTATTCCTCTCTTCCTGAGGTATAGTGTCTATGGAAGAGACTATCAGTATCACAACTCAGTGTTGTGAGTAACATGAAGAGGCACTATTCTGGTACCAGAAAACAGGGTATCTTAATCTAGTGGGTAGGGTAATCAGGTAGCTGATTTCTAAGTAGAAATTTCAAGGATGACTAGAAATGACTCAGGTCAGACAAAGGGTGAGGGGGGACATGATTAAGGCAGAAGGAGCATCTTGTAAAGACTTTAAATGAAGATACTATAGCTCTGAGGAACTGAACATGTTTGGCAAAATGATTGGATTTAAAAACATGAAGAGAGGTAAGACTGACAAAGGTCAGGTTGTGAAATGTTTTGAAACCTGTATTAGGTTTCAATTTGACTGCTAGTAAAAGATCATGACATAAGATATAAATGTATTTCCTCATATAAAAGAAATCCAAAATACTTGCTGTGAAGTTCTGTAGTTACTAAGGGTTGGTCTTTTTTGGGGGCTCTTTTTTTTTTCCCCTCTCCCCCAATAGTAGAAATTGAAATGCAGAGCTACCCAGCCCTTTCAATTTTCTTTTTAGTTTGAGCCGGGGTTTCATTGTGCTCAGGCTGGCCTCCAACTTATAATCATGCCCATCCACCAAGTAACTGGGGTTCCAGGGATATGCCACCATGCTCAGCTTTTTTGGCTCTCTTTGCTCAGACATCCAAGGCGTATGACTTGCATTCTTATTGAGGGGTCATCAGCATGGCTGCCACAGCTCAAGCCATTAGGACTTTGAAATGGGTAAAAAGCAGAATGGGGGATGGGCAGAGAGCACAGCTTGCTATCTAGTCTCACTTTAAGAACCATTTTTGGGAGTTCCAAGAAATAGCACCTGCTTTCATCTTATTGGCTAGAACTTAGCAGCGTAGGAAATGTTTCATTTGTAGATGCTTGATCGGCTTAGGAACAAAGTATGTAGAAGAAAGGAAATTCTGTTCTTTGGAAAGATAGCAAGCCTTTCAAGTCACTGATTTACCAGTGTATCTGATTTTGTACTATTAGATGGTAGAGAAGCACTGTGAATGGGATAGTGGGATAGTCCATTAATAGATACTGTTATCTGACAGAATCAGATTTGTTACTAACGAACAAGAGTACGGTGCTCACTGAATAGGTTATTAGCAGTTTACATGTCAGAGGCCATATTTTATTTTATTTTAATTTTTGGTACCGGGGACTGAACTCAGGTGCTTATGCTGCTGAGCTATTTCTCCAGCCCTAGAGGCCATATTAAAGAGTTCAAATTTTATTTAGTAAAGGAATTACAAGTAGCTAGATTTCCTTTTTTTTTTTTTTTTTTTTTTTTGAGACTAGGTCTTGCTATGCAGTTCAGCATGGCCTTAAACTCACAGTGATGCTCCTGCCTCAGCTTCCCAAGTGCTGGGATTACAGGGGTATGCCACCACACTCCACTTGGATTTGCTTATTTAAAAGCTAATGTTGGGGGCTGGGGAGCTAGCTTGGCAGTCTAAGTGCCTGCCTGGCAAGCACAAGGATCTGAGTTTGATACCTGGTACCACATGCTGTGCTGGCCCCAGAACCCCAGGTGTGCCTTGCCAGTCACCAAAACTGGGCATGGTGGCGCATGCCTGTAATCCCAGCTCTGGGGAGGCTGAGACAAGAGGATCACTAAGTCCAAGCTGTGTAGCAATACCCTATACCAAATAAATAAATTAAAAAAAATAAAAGCCAATGTTGGGTGCAGTGTAGAGAGTATACTGGAGAACAAGCTCAAGACAGCCAGATAACAGCAATCTGTATAAGAGGTAATGGTGGCCCAGAAGACTGATGGTTAACTTGAGTTGAAGCAGGGTACTACATGAAAGTGACATCATTCATTCAATAAAGGTTAAATGTTGGGATTTAGCATGAGTAAGACATTGTGGATGTAACTCTTTCCCCCCACCCAAAAAAAGAACTTGCTGTGACAAAGGTTTAGTGTTGGGGGTGTGTGTGTAGAATCTCAACTACGACTAGTGCCAGGAAGTGGTCAGCCTATTGAGAGAGCTTACCAGGTGTTTCCTTGGGGGAACTGGCTTTTGCATAAAGATCCAAATGATGATGAGGAATAAACTGGAGGAAGACTGGCTGGAACCCGGAATGGACCCCTGGAAGCCAGATGACTGTAGCCATCTAGATAAGAGAACAGACTAGTTTGGAGGTAGAGAGAGGGAGAAAAGTGCAAGAGAAATTTAGAAGGGAAATTCCAAAAGATTTATTTAATGGGTGGGAGAGAAGGTGTCAAGGATGCTGCCATGGTTTCCGCCTTCAGTGGCAGGATGGTTCAGAGAGCCCTTGACCCAGACTGGGGGAGTTGGGAAGAGGGCTGTGTTTGGGAATATGGTGACACTGTCGGTTTTAGGCTTACTGATTAGGTACTTGGATGCAGAGGTGTGGGATGTGGGCGAGAAGACTGGGCTGGAAACACATAGATGAGTTGCCAATGTAAAGGTGCTAAGTGAGGCCACGTGTGAATGAACTTGCCCAGGGAATGTTGCAGAGGATATAGGATCCAAGCTTAAGAAACACAGACTCATTTTTTTCACGCACATACACGCACAATTTCACTCCCCTCCCTTCATATCTCAGATAGTACCCATGGGATTAGTGACAATAGCCTAAATTTTAAGCTCTGTGCTACTCAAGAGTTGCAGGTCTTCCCATAGCCCCATCTTGCTTCCAACCCTGCAGGAGGCCGCTGTGACTTTCTAAATGCTCTTCCTAAAGATAGTGGGAAGCTTGTGGCTGCCCCACAGAAGGAGTGACCATTTGACTTTTTTGCCTTTCTGCCTCTCTTGAAAGCTTGTGGAGTATCTTTTGTCCAGTCATTGGGTCAAAACTGAGATCATCTACTGAGATTGTCTCTGTCCCCATGTGACTTTAGCCCTCCTTTAGAGTAGCAAGGCTTCACCTCCTGTTTCATTGGCTGAGTCGTCTTTGGGGCTGCCACCTATGGTCCCCGCAGCTCTGCTGTCAGGGTTACCCTCTTCCCCGTAGGGTGAGTGATGGGGAGCTGTACTAGTTTAGTTGCCATCAACATGCCAATAAATCTCTTAGTACCTCAGTCACACAATACTGAGATTGTGGAGTAGGGACAGGGAGTCTGACTAGGGACAGCCCCACTTGAAAAGTAGAATTGTTTGCATCTCTAGGAAGCTTTCAGTTCAGTGGCTATGAGCCCCAGCTCTGATGGGAAAAGTCTTGGGTCATCTGAGACCACAGGACCACTTCCCGATTAAGACAATGACCTCTTCTCCTGCCAAACCACAGGGGCTGGCGGGCCTTCAGAGGCATCATCTCCAGCAGGCTGTGTTTTGAGCCACTCAGTGCCCTTGGAGATGAGAGAATGATTTGGCACTAATTCTGAGTCGGAGAGCATAGCTTTCAGTCTCCAAGCCTCAAGTGTTGCTTCCCCCTGTTGCATAGGCTTATTATGGGATGGCTATCCACACAGACTTACTGGAGGTGGTGGGGAGAAGACAGGCTCATCCTTGTAGAACCTGATGCTGTGGAGAAAAATGAGAAGATTCACACTGTTGTGCTCCCCAGAAATGAGAGAACTTGACTGTGAACAGCAGGGCAATATGGGGACAACAGAGAATTGTGCTATGCTTTTATTACTAGTAGAGCTTGGATTGAACCCAGGGCCTTGTGCGTGCTGGGCAAGTACTTTAACTCTGAGCTACATCCTCAGCCTTAAAAATTTTTTTTTTTTTTTTTTTTTTAAATACAGCATCTTGCTGTGTAGTTCAGGCTGGCCTTGAACTGGTGGCAATCTTTCTGCCTCAGCATGTTGGGTGTTGGCATTACAGGTATGTGCCAGGATACCCAGCAGTCTTTAAATTTTGAGACACAGTCTCCATAAATTGTCTATCTTGGACTAGAAGTCTTGATCCTCCTGCCTCATTTTTCTCAGTAGCTAGAATTATAGACATGGGCTTCCATGCCCAGTTTCTGGTGTCTACACATTCATTGATTCATGCATTACTGAATATACTTATGTGCTAACCACTGCATAGCAATGGGATACTAAGGAAACTACAGGCTTTTCCAGGAGCAGACATGCCAGATAATGGAAATTCAATGTGAGCTGGGCCGTGGCAGAAGTGCACTAAGACTGTAGCCCACTAGAGTGGAAGAAGATTCACTAAGTCTTAAATAACAGGGACAGGCAATTTCAAAAGGAAACAAAGCATAGAAGTTCAAAATAATCATAATCATGACAGCTGCTTTTTAAACTATATTGTTTCCAATGTGACATTGTAGACTCTAGCCCTGGTTTCATCACTCACTGGTATTGTAGAAAAATATACGTTTCTATATTTCAGTTTGCTCATTTATAAAACTGAGATAATGCCTACCTGATGGGTACCTTGAATCAATGTTATTAAGCACTTGGTACACTTCAAATCCTATAAGCACATAATTTTCTTTTTCTTTTTTTCATTCATTTTTAAAAAATAGTTTGATTGGGAAACAAATAGCAATGAGACAGTTTCAAACCGATTACTAGCAGTTTCAATAATTAATACTTTGCATATTGTTGTCTTAATGGTTATTCATTGTACAAGATGCAGACATGATATGCTGTCCACAAACACTATTAGAACAAATCTCTTTATTCACTGAATTAAGAGAATGCAGCTGTATATCCTAACTATTTTGAGTATACAGATACAAAATGGTCATTCATTTGTATCCCCCTTTTTTGGTTAGTTTTGTCAGAGAAGGGCATTCCATTGTCACTTAAATATTGTAGGTGTGTGAATTCAGCAAAATATTCTAATATAGTCCAGTA